CTTGATCGGTAACGGGTAGTACGACAACCTTGGGTCGAGAAATCATCTTCTTAGTATTGAGGTTGAGCACTTGGTGCCCAGTACGTTGTCCCTTTGTAGGTTCAATGTAGATCGCTTCAATACTTCGCGGTTCCATCGAATTGTTGGAATCTGTCCCAATGGCATGAACATACTATCCAAGCTCAGCAACCATGTCACTCTTGTAGTTGATATTGACATTATCAATGAGTTGCTGCGGACTGAAATGTGAGGAAATACTGTCTTTCTGGGGAAAGACATTCAATAGCTCGGCGGCTCCACGTCCAAGACATTCAGTGATCACCTTTGGGACCACTTTGTAGGGTAATCGTGCAAGAGCTACTCTGACTCTTTCTTTCAGCGTTTGATTGTTTCGCTCAGCTGTAGGCTCGTGGTCTCCAGCTGCAGTTGGGTCAATAGTAACACCCATATCATCTAGCATATCATTCGTCAGAAGGATGAATGCCGGATCACACTTGATCGTCTTGACATGAAAGGCTGCCTTATTGTAGCGGCGGAATATCTTTTCCAATGTTCAGTCTTCAGGTTCTGCATGGGAATACATGAGCGATAACGCACAGTGGTATCAATGCAGGTGAGAAACTTAGCATTTTCGATCTCCATGTGATCAATACACACGGTAATTGTTCAATTATGTTGATACAATTCCTCTGGTGGACTGAAGAAGTCATCGTGTGTCTTCTTTGGAGTTGGTCTTGTTGACTTGCCTTTCAAAGTAGGTGCAGGTCCAAAGATTGCTTTGGCATAATTGATCGCTTCTTCAGTGATAGGACAGTTCTTGATGAGACCAGATCGGATCGCATACTTCAGACTATTGGTGCTTGGAGCATTGAGTATGTGCATCGCACTTCTTGCTTCCATCGCAGCCTACACAGAATCCTTGTAGAAGCCGAATCAAATTCTGCAAACAAGGGATTTTCCGAAGGAAAATGGTTGAGCTCACTTTTGTGATTGAATCATCAATTCAAGCCAAACATTAATCAAATAGGAACAATTTTACTCAAAGTATACCTAACACAGGAGAACTATTGTCGTGAAAGTGTTGTACAGTCAATTACAAATTTAGATTGCAGAGAGTTTGTTCTGAGCGCAAAAGGCACTCACGATAGAGCACATTTTGCTTTATTCTAACATTCAATCACAAAAGGCAACAAAAAGAAAATATGTCAAGAACAGCACCGCCTTATCTACAAAGGAGTGAGTGATTCGTTGACTATGGGACGTTCTTCATCCGGTGGTGGAAGAGGACGTGTGACTCCTCAGAAAGTCAAGGACAATCCAAGTTCAAAGGTTGTGAAACATCTGTTTTCAACAAACAATGAAAACAATGGGAAGACAAGATCGTCTTTCAAAGATGCCAACAAAAGACTGATCGACTATGTCCAAGCTTCTGGAATGAAGTGCTCCAAAGAAATGGTGAAATCGATTCAAGATGGAAAGTCAATCAACCTTGATTCAATTGCACCAACATTGGATGCTCCAGTTCAAACGGAAGTTGTTGCAAGAGAGACAGACATAGCCCAAAACAAGATTCTCTGACCAATCATATGAACAGAGCAGCGTATTTCGAGACAAACAAGCGAACTCTTAAGTCAACAAGCATGCTTAAGTTTGTTACAAAAGAGATGGATATCAAGCTTCGAGGTGAAGCCGATTTCACAGCTACTCTTGAAGATCCAATTGAACTCTTGAAACAAATTGAACGATTCATGAAGAAGAGTGCCGATGCTGAGTCTGACTTCTTGGATTTCTGGGAAGCCAACCAAAAGTTCTTTGCTATGAAGCAAGGAACAACCGAAAACTTGATGCATTTCAAGGAACAATTCTTGAGACAGGCTGAAGCCATGCAAGATCTATATGGCGTTGCCTGGTTCCGAAATTTTGCAGTCAAGACGAAGGCGTATGCTGCTATTGCTAGCACCGATACTGCTGCTACAGACAAGTTCAAGGATGATATCTTGAAGCCGTTCTTGCAACAGGATTTCTGTGCAACTGTGATTGAACGAGAACAGCTCCTCTGATGCTGGATCTTCAGACAAACTACTGCAGGGAAGTGGATTATTATCCAAAGACGGTCAGCAAAGCACAAGATATGTTGAAGATTCACATGGATGTGATTAAGAATCCGGGAGTGAACCCATACCAAGGAAAAGACCAGCCAAATATAGGTAAAGGTAAAGGTAAAGGTAAAGGTAAACCAAAGGACAATAAGAAAAAGGCAGCATGTTATGTATGTGGCAGCAAGGACCATATGTCTCCAAAATGCCCAGACAGACTGCTACCAGAGATTCAATGGAAGCATCCGAAACACTATGTTGATTATGGAAAGAAGCTTAATCTGAACCAGATTGGAGCAACAGTCCCAGCTACAGTTCCAGCTACAGTTCCTGGAGCTTCTCCAGTGACAAGTATTATCACAAGTGGAGCATCGAGTGGTGCGGGAAGCGTTAACACCCCTTTGCGACTTACTGGTACTACAGGTAATCAGATGATGCAAGTTCCTGCGGGAATGCAGCTCATGCAGATACCAACTCAAGGTGGCGGCACTGTGACTTTCCCTTACTCAATGAATGCTAATGGTGAGATTGCGTTCAGTGGAATGCAACTCAGCCAACAAGGCTTCAATGGTGCTCAAGTGCGCCAAGGATTCGATGCAACTCAAGCTCAAAGTCCGCAGGTCATGAAGACTGGCTATTATGATACGTCAAATGTCTTTCACAATGCTATCAAGGGAAAGGATGAGAATGCCAATGATGTCTATCTTATTCCCTGTCCTACTGGTACGCCTAATGTCAAACTTCAATCCGACTGGCACTATGCTAGTGAAAATGATAATAATAATAACTGAGACATTAATCGTTACTATGCTACTCTGTGGGCATTTGATTGCCGGTGAAATATTCGGCTGTAAAGGTCAAGTACTGTGAAGCGGTGAGTCAACAACAAGTTTGAACATGTGAGGCAGTTGCTCAAGTCTCCCAAAGGGGTAAAGACTTCTCCCGCGACGTGGCGGGGTGAATTCGGGGCATGTAAGGTCCCGCGAAAAGTTGGTCAGGGTCCAGGGGGAAAAATAGTCCGCAGACTGTGGCGTTGTGCTTTCATGGAGCGAGGGAAGTCTCAGTGTTCCTGACAAAGCAACTTAAGCCACTCTTCCTTGTCCGCCAATGACTTGCGGAATTGCAAATGTACTTGCTATGCGCGAGATGATTGCTGCGGGATACCGTATTACCATGGATACTGATTTTGACAATGCCTTTGTTGTGCATTGCGATGGAGACAGAGAGATGCGATTTGTGAATTGTAAGGGTGTGTATGTGTTGGAGCAACTTGGAGCGGATGTCGAACCAGGTGCCAAAGAGACAAGTGCGATGTATCGTTGCCAGGTAAGCAACGTAAATAATCAACCCCATTTTGAAGTTTCTTCAAACAAACAGAATGGATAACGTACTGGGTACCGAGTGCTCAACCTCAATACTAAGAAGATGATTTCTCAACCCAAGGTCGTCGTACTACCCGTTACCGACCAAGGAATCCAGCGTGTTGAAGTCTAGGCTGCTGCTGAAGGTGTTACTTCTGTCAAGTTCTTTGATAAGAAGAGAGATTTGGAGACATTTCAAGATGACGATCAAATCACAGGAGTGGATGACACGGAACAAGGTTACTTAGAAGAAGCCTTTGATCAGGACTATGAACCTAATTTTGAAGATGAATGTGATTTTAATCTACATGGACAATTTGATGATATTGATGACTCTGAAAGAAATGAGCTCTTGGCAGATGCAGACAATGATGTTGATGATATGCCAGAACTCACTGTCAGATTCCAAGGGGATGATGACTATGAATCAGATGACAACAATTGAGGTGATTTGGATCACCATCAAGAAAATGTCGATAGAGGAACCGATGATATTGGAAGCCTTGTTACTGATCTGGAGGATCTACAAGAACCGCCAGAAGAAGAGATTGTATTTGAGCCTGAAGAGTCTCAAGTAGCAAAAGTCACTCAATCTGGGCAAACGTATGCCCAAGAAGCTGCAATGTCTGGGCTGAACCTATCTCAAACTCCAAAGAAACCAAGATAATGGCCTTCGAGCAGGAGTGGCAGTTCTGCCAATAAGAACAAGAATCGAGTTGCAACAAGACGCTAGCATTGAGAGAGGGAAATGAAACTGTTAAAGGACAAATTGAAGTCTGGCACTCATACCAAAGAGGGAAGTTGCAGTACTAAAGACAATGAAGCTATCGTTGAAGCACAGCACAATCTATGTTTCCAACAGATTGGGAATGAGATGAAAGCTGATTATGAAGAGCACGACGCTATTCTGATCGCTCGTTCGTTGCATGATGCAGATCAAGGCAAAGTTTGATACTGATGAAGGTCTGAACTTCATTCAACAGTATTACATCAATCAAGGACTGAAGAAGTTCAGTGACGATGGAAAAGATGCTGTGGATAAGGAATTGAGACAAATGCTCCTGAGAGATTGTTTTACTCCCGAATTTGTGAAAGACATGACCGCGTCTAAACGAAAGAAGGCCCAATCAGCGATGATGTTACTCGCGGAAAAGCAATTCGAAAAGACAAGTAAAGGTCGCCTAGTATACCAAGGCGATGGAACTCGTGAATGGTTATCGCGAGAGGACACTGTAAGTCCAACTGCTTTGCAAGAAGCAATCACCACTACTTGTGTTATTGATGCACACAAAGGTAAAGATATAATGACGATGGACGTGCCTAACGCTTTCATCCAAACTTATATGCCTGAAGCTAAGGAAGGAGAAGATCGTATCTACATGAAAATCACTGGCATGATGGTCCAGATATTGATTGACATGGCCCCAGAGTATCGCAAATACGTTGTTTTAGAGAACGGAAAGCGAGTAATCTATGTGCGGGTACTACGTGCTATATATGGGATGTTGCAATCGAGCCTCCTATTCTATAATCAGTTTTGAAGTGATTTGGAGGCAAAGGGATTTGTTTTCAATC